AAAGAGAGAGTATGGTACGTGGAATACGCGTCCGCAACATAAATAGTTCAATCACGACGAGCTTAACGTCGTAAGCTCTCCTTTGCTTTTACAACCATCGTGCGCTTTACCTCCCACTGTTGTTCACCTAAAATCCTAAGTGAACCCCACGTCTTTACCGAGCTTCACTCGCTCTGCTTCTATCCCCATATTGAAATATTTAATATTTTTAATAGAAAGACGATCCAAGGAAAGTTAGCTTCCAACTGGAGATGATAGTGCACTAGGGGGTGGTTGGGGGTGCATGAGGGGTGCATGAGGGGTGCATGAGGGGTGTATTTGAAGTTTTCCAGCCGCCGGAGGGGAGCTGTTCCCCGGCGATTCCTGGGGGCGGTTCAAACTTTTTCTTATAAATTATTGCGCTTCGGGACTTTCTTATTTTCGCCTTATATTGTCAGAGAAGGTTTGTTGGATTTCTTCAATTATTACGCTTAATGGACGTTTTGTTTTCAAGCCAGAAAACAATTTGCTTTGAAAATTTGTAACAATTATTTTCAAGTAATTGCTTCATTATTTCGAGTTATGAAATGAAATTTTTCGCATTTTCTTTCCGGTCCTCTCTCATTTTAATTTTTTTCACCGTTTAGAAGTAATAACAGAGGAGAAGTATTCCTTGAACAGGGACGTTGATTAAACCGAAAATAATATTCGATCAGTGCCAAAACGCCAGGCGAGGAGGATCGATGCGGATAGCGTTTACGTTGATAAATGGTTTTTTCACCCGACTTGGAAAAAATGTACTCGCAAAGCCCTATCAGGTGTATTCATCATTTTTTAATAAAACCATGATCCGCTAGATAGAGGAGTCTGTCAGAGTTTTCACTCCACAAGTTTCCAACTGCCAGGGGAGTGGGAGCGACTGCATGAGAGGTTTACAGAGAGTTGAACTTATAAATTACGTTTTGTACAGCGGCTGTATTCTCCGCGGCGCTCCGGGGATTACACGATGGGTAAAGGAAAAAAATGTGTATAGAGGGGGAGTTTTGGGTAACTGTCTGCTCTCGGAACATCAGGTTCAACCGGGGATGTAGAGACTCCCTCAAATGGTAATGCACTTGGTTCCCAACCTCCTCGATAGGTTGAGATTCGGTGAGAGGTATCCTCTCTGGAATATCAACGATTTAAAGGAATTTTTATTCACTTGGAGGAATTATGAGGGGGAAAATTGTGGAATGTATTTGGTTGAGCGCTTTTGGATCGACCTCGTTATTGAAATTTAAATGAAAAATACCAGGGCGAGATGAATATCATTCTTTCGAATTGTCAATGTTTTTTTTTTCAAACTGACGAAGTAGAGAGAGAAAATTCTTGGGGAAAAATGGAAGAAAACGATGGAGAAATGCGAGTATCGTCTACCCTCTTCACTCGACTGACATTAGCATATAAATACAATTCTAACACCCCGTTGGAAAAAGTTTAGTTCGTGCGAGCGAAGGCACTTACCTCCAACTTAAATTTGGATAGTTAAAATGTGTTGCAGAAACCGACTCCCTCCCCTTTCACCTTTTCTGTTGACTCTCTTTCTACCTGTACTCGGAGTGCTGTTGGCGTTTCGGTGTTAGACGACCGGGCAAACTCTCGCTCCCGGTTCTGCACTGAGCAGCCATATTGCGTCGTTTTCGTCCTTTCCCTTGTCGCCAAAGCCCAGGCCTCCATTTTCCCTGGCCACTTGGTTCTAACGTGTTCCAAAATATCTGGGGGGATTATGGCTCGAGGAACACCCCACACTCACTTTTTATTCAAGTTTTTACCATTTTGACTCGTTAACATACAACACCCCATGCCTCCTCTTAATTTCCTCAAAAAATAAACAAAAAAAAAATGGTGGAAAAAAAAAAACAATTTTTTATTTGATGTGAAACGGAATTTTTATATGGAAATTGATCCGGAAGTGAAATTGTGCGGTTAACACGGGGCGTTTGCATCAATGGTATAACCCGGAAATATCGAAAACTCGGTTTGAAATGCCGTCCACATCTCTTCACTAGGAGAAACGAGAGTGGAGAGAGAGTGGGAGTACACAGAGGGATGATGGGGTACAGGACTGATCCGGTATTTACATCCGTTTCCTGTTGGTCCACCAACCGCAGAGGGATACATCCGGGAAAAGTCGACTAATTAACCATGTCCACCCACTCCGTCATCAGCGTAACGGTTTATATTGATTGAAAAGCGATGTCTGTTCAACCACAACTGCTCCACATGCGGCTTTCTGCACATAAATCTCATGAATGCATTTGGCCATTGAACATTAATCCCTTGCACATCCTTTTCTCATGCACATCTACAGTTTAATCCCCTCAAAGAAGCTCAAAACCTCTTCGAGCGTTGCAATTAAAACGATAAAAGCGGCAAATAAGTCCTCAACCATAATTTTTTTCCCAAAAATTGGCCGCCTCCCCCGTCCAAATGTTTAATTAATCTCATAACCCCACTAAAGCCCGGAAAAACCTACTGAAATAGCCACGGAGCCATCCTAAGGAAAAGAATAACTGCGTGCATCTGTCGTGAGCGATCTAATCTCATAAAAAATTCCTCGTTATGAATGAAGAAAAAAAAATGGAAAAAAAAATGACACAAGACCGAATAGATAGAAAGATATCTGAATAAAAATGAATAAAGCCGGGCAAATACGGGGCGAACGATTCAACAGAGAGTATAGGGAATCCATCGTGCCACCTGTAACCCAGAGTGTAATCGGAAATATATTTCACTCCCCTTCTGACCATCGGTCGCCCGCGTTGCATTTGAGCTACGAATATCCAAGCCCGCTGCCAGCTGTCGAACGAGACCTAGGGTGTACCCACCCTGTGTTGTAACTGTTAAATGAAAAATATCCAATGTTTTATATTCATTCATATCCCCTCGCTGCTCTATGCACTTTTAACGACGATAACGACGTGGTGACGTGATTGTTACATCGAGGTGAACTATATAATATTTTATGTTTTTTTTTTTTTTTTCATTTTTTTTATCAACGGTTTTGTAGAATTGGCTGGGTTGGTGTTATGTTTTTTTTTCTAGTTTTTAAAACGTGTTTATGTATAATTTATGATGAGCTAGTGGCTGAATTCCCTCTCTCTGCGTGACAGTTCAAGTGCAATATCCTCCCGTGGAAATTTACTACAGGAGCAGTGAAGAATCGACATATATGAAGCTATACATCATATTAAAAACTAAAATGAAGAAATTTAAATACAAAAACAAGTAACAGAAGTAACTAAATCGTCATGAATAAAATTTCAATTTCAATATTTCGGCAGGCATTTCTATATACTTTCTCATGGGGATAAAGTTGAATGTGAGAATTAATTCATCCAAATCATGCGATTTGCGGTGGGAGCGAGCGAAGCGAGCAATAGCTACATATTTTCCATTATTCCTTGCATTCTCCACGCAGTTTTAACCGCAACAACTCTGTAATTACGTTATTGCTCTGTCAAATGAGCAACCCTAAAACTCAGTATTAAAGTATGAACTTAAAAGGTCGTGAAACTGTTAGAATTTTAATGCGCAGTTATGTAATCCAGCAGTGTACAAGGTCTCCACCAACATTTGCAAGGTGTAATTGACAATTTCACATAGACTCAGAGTACTCTCGCACGTGTCGCAATTTTACGGGTATGTGTATGTTTATGTGTCCACGCGGGTTATGTTAGAGAGAGTACTGTCATTTTGACGGGGGAACGGTACGACCATGTACCATACGCAAGATGGATGCTGTATGAAAATTGTAATTGTCTGTTTGTATGTAAATTAATCGGCTGTTTTCGAGTTACACGGTTTCACTCACCTCATTGTTCGAGCATCGTGGTAGAATTTTATATAATATCATGGATGTGTAAAGTGTTGGAGAACGAGTTGAGGAGAACGATAAAATCACGGCAATAAAATGATTCTAGTAACAAATTACAATATTTTCAAATGATAATTTCAGTGAGTAAATTTAAACGCAGCATGGCTGTCAATTTCTGCACAGAGAAAAAGTTTATCCATGTTAGAAAAGATCTTTCAAAACTCAAGAAAACTCTTTTCTACAATCTAGATTGTGGAAAGTCCATTTTTTTAAATCTAGAAACTTCGTTTCTAACATGAAAAAACTTTTTTTTCAGCGCCCGAAATATTCTTCTTATCTGCTGGCATCTAGAGGAACCATTTAACCTTTTAATAAAACCACCAGGCCACTACCGCCACGACAACAGTTGTCCGAGGAGGACTCGATAGATCGAGACTTGGATTGATCATTGATTGGAGTGATGGTTGGAATGGAAAGTTATGATTGACAGGATAAAATGGGCCGGTGCACTGAGCAACTCTCTCATTCCCCTTTGAACGCACAATTGAGCGCTCACTCACGCCCATGCTATTCAAGTGTCGAAGGGTTATCATCGTCATTGCGGCCCTTTGGAGCCCTTTGGAGCCCTTTGGAGCCCTTTCGAGTCCTTTCGAGATGTAGGAATTCAAGACAAAGGCGCACGTACTTTTCCCCCTCCCTATCTGCATCGCAGTCTAAAGCTCGGATTTTATGAACCTCTTTAGTCTTCTTTTTTCTCCTGCACTCTTTTTTCCCCCCACGGGCCAATTTATTATTTACTTATTTTCCACGGATCCCAGGTGGCACATGGCTTTAATAGTGACACCAATGGAGCCCACGTGGAGACGGAAATTGCCGTTTTATTGGGAGAATTAAGAGGCCTAACGCTCGGGCTAGCGGGCTTACTCCCTCAATTACGTATCTTTTAGCTGAGGGAGCAGCATCACCCACGACACAACTGGATTTTACCTAGGAAACAGCTTGCTATTACCTCCTCGATAAATAAATCTTCTTTAACAATCAAATCGCCGCCTTAACTGAGATTCTTATGAGAATATAATGGCCATTTATTCATGCAAAATTTCTACACCTGCAATATAATATTGTTATCATTGTTTTTCTTTAAAAGATATTAAATTCAACTTACGAACTGCTGAGTACTCTCGGTCATCCATCAGAAATGTGCCTGAAAAAAGAGTGAAAAAAACAAAAACCCTTAGTCCAATAAATTACAATTTGCATCATCGGGAATATTAATGAATTTACGACAATCATTACTCTCAATTAAAAATCGCCCACGGTAAATCTAATTAACAAGAAAAAAAAAAAAAGAAAACAGAAGCTCGCGGAGAAGGAAAGACGGATGAATCCCTATAAAAGCTAATGGGATATATCAGATTATGCGTACCTGGAGTGCAAACATTGAGAAATTGAGGAAGACTCATTGAAAAAAGGAAGATAGAGTCACACTTCCAAAGTGACTAGCGTGAAAAATATTAGAAAAAACTACCGAGTGAGCTCTTAACTTGAACAAACGTTCTTGAATTTCCACCACGGCAGGCAGTTAATTATTTTCCTCGGGTTGGAAAGGCGATATCCGGCCTTGCTCAGATTTCGCAGAGTGGTGAATGAAGAAGAGGATAAAACGACGGAATAAAAAAACCCAAACGAGAGAGATACAGTAAAAGGGAGTTGTACGCTGCGGGGAAGGGGAGGGTTGAGGGTGGATAGACGATGTAACGAATAAAAATTCACGTTGGAATGAAGACCGAGGGAGATTGAAAACGAGATTCTCGAGAATCCGATGAAAACGTGCCTCCCAATGCTGCACAGATTTATATCGGACTACAGAAAAGCTCTCAGTTAAAATCTACAATAGAAGCACGAGAGAGACAGAATGAAAAAAAAAAACATGCACATACATTTGTAGCTCCATCGAACGCACTTTAATCAAGAGTTATCGTAACACCGAGATACAACGAAAAAACTTGGTTCTGAAAAAAATAAGCGGAAAGGAAAATAATATGTTTATAGGAATAATTCATAAATTTCTGCATACAATAACTCAGATGAGCAAATGAACGGAATGAAAACATCTCGTTGATAAAAAAATCGCCTGGAGACTTGAAAAATGTCAGAAAAATATATTACCAGGTAATTAAAAATTCCCGAGCCAAGAAAATCTAATTTAAAACCGCAGCCGAAGGGTAAAAAATGAGAACTACCTTTTTTCGCCCGAAAAGCTGAGTGAAATAAATAAAAGCATACGTCTCAACGCCGGTAATTTCCCCCACATCTGTCTCCCGCTGTTTCTTTATTTTAATTTAATCCCACAAACACAGTGGGCTCCAACCAAGTGAAAAATCACGGCGTACACGATGACGTGTGTGTATGTGTGTGGGAGTGAAGGGGGATTTTGGTAGGTGAAACTGGGGGAGAATGTGAAAGACAAATAGAAGTGAAGGCAAAAAGGTGAAAAAGAGGGGGAGGGTGAAAAAAAAAGTAGAAAAGAAAACAGGGTTGAAAACGCTTGCCACAAAATGTTCTAACTGCCTCTTCGCCCCGGTAGCTCTATCCTTCCTCTGTCAGAGTGTGTTACACTTTTATCTGGAAAAGTGGCCCCCGGCGATTAAAAAGTTTCATTACCGTTGGCGTCAGTTTCGTTCCAGCTGAGGAAATAGAATACAATCCACCAATCCGGTCAATCTCGTTTGCCACCGGATTTCTTCGTATTTTCTTCTTTTCCTACTTTTTTTCCTTTTTCAGGATTTTTTTTCTCGACTCATCCCGTATCGTATATATAATCCTTCTATGTACACGAGTGATAGTCGGAGATTTCTCGGAGGCAGTGTAGTGCGAGTAGATGAGAGGAGGCATTTCGAGAGATTGTATGTACTAACCTGCGGTGCAGGGCATTTTGGCATAGAGAGGAAGAACCAGGAGATTGCAATTGCCCCTGTGTGCTGGAGGATGAAAAATTAATGGATTTTCGCCGAGGAAACAGACAACTTATCCAGCCAAAATGAGGTTAATACGGAGAAGACATATTTTAAGCAAGAATTATTCATCGAGTGTCAAATTAATCAGTTGAATAAGGAAAATTTCATCGGGATTCGCTACGACGTGGCAGATTCAACTCATTAAATTCCACTCATTCTCCGTCACGAATATTAAAAATTGACAGTCGAATCAACCCACGATTAATATTCGGTTAGTCACTCTCTTGAATAAATTATGAAACTCCGGCGACCAAATAAGATGTACAATGAAAAAAGGTTGTTCAATTAAGTGACTGATTAAATCCGATTAATAGCAGAACAACTACGAGAAGATAAAAGCCACAATGAAAGCAAAAAACCGAAAGAATTATGGCATTTAGCTGAAAAACTCCAAGAACATTTGTTTTAAAATAACTCGACAAAGGCTGTTTATGAGACAATAAGTGCATGTCCGTGGTGAACAATTAGAGGAAAAAAGGTGAGTGAGAATGGTGGAGCCAAGCGAAAGCAAGAGGAAAAAGAGGGTAAGAAAAAAAAATGAAGAACAATGAGGGCCTTAGTGGAGAAGTGGAGGAATGGACGGTCGTAGAACAATGTGGTGGAGATGGCTGGTGTAGGGTATAGAATGATGTGATGTGATGTCATGTGATGTGATGTGATGTGGCTGTATAAGGTGCAACACTGAGGCTACTCTGAGACGGGAGACAGGCTTTGCGCACGAAGAAACGATTAGTCTCCATTCACACGTTCATCTTCTCTCTCAACTCGGCACAATCCAGTTGTATACATTTACCAGGGGGTGGACTACCAGCTACGACTACCACAGTTTACTGGATATACTCGTGACAGTGTGGCATTGTCCATTTATTACTGCGCACCTATTTTCCTTCGCATGAATGAGTTGAAAACAGAAAGCTCCAGTCAAGTCGAGTACTCTCGAGGCCCCTTCACATTTAATTTCCACAATTTCTACTAATTTTCCACTCTCTAGGAATTCTGCGAGAGATAAAATAAATTGTTGAGGGATTGAATAAATATTTGACCTGAGTAGTGGAGGACGTTAGAGTGGAGAAATAAAATTGAGGGAACAGAGAAAAATTGGCTGAAATAAGGAGGACGTGATCGAGGAGGTTCGACGAACCGAGGTCGACACGATTTTATGGGATTCAATGATCCGACCACCTGGGCGCATTCTCGATGTACATGGCACCGGTGTGCCGACGTCTATGTGATATTACTACATCGGTGGCAGGGCTACAAAAGCCCTCTGAAATCCTCTACTCTCTCTCCGTTTCCTTTTCTTAATCTCTATCTCGCTGTACTATACCTCCATCTAACATTTCATGCACATTTGATGATGGTCAAAAGAACACTTTTAACTCCATCTATTTGCTTCTCTCTTCTCATGACAAGTGTTATTACACAGATGACATGTTATGAAATAAGAGATTTGAAGCGCTCTCAACCTAGTGTTCTGTTTCTGATATAGCTGTCATGAATCGTTAAAATGCGTAATAAAGTATGAAAAAAGGAAAAAAGAGAGTTTGGAAAGCTTGTGGCTGGTGAACGACGTGTTTCGTATATTCAAGGGTCCTCTTATTATATTTACCCGGATATAAACCCTTCCCTCATGGCGTTTGACGTCTCCAGGCCGGTTCACTCATCCACCTTGTATATAACTGGATCGGTGTGCAGTGACCACTCAACTCAACTCAACTCAACGTGCGCTTCGCGTTTTCCCTTCCCCCGGGGGCTAAACACCCTTCCAACGATCCGATCCCTTCAACTGGCATGCACCACTCTTCCCGGTACGGCTGCCACGAATTAACGGCCATTCACTCCAAATCACGACTCTATTCCCCCGAATTTTTCTTCAATTATTGTTTCCAAACAAAAAAAAAACAGAAAAAAAGAGCCAAATCAGAGAGGATAGTTTTCTCCTCCTGGGGGGCATTCTTTTTGTTTGACTCGTGAAAAAATCATTTCAACCACAGAAAGCGATTATGGTGGAAATGGAGAAAACAAAGTGCTCGAACGTGTTCAGGGTTCTCTCTCCGTTGCCTCACGTTTGTTTCATGCTCTCGGATAATACGGCAACTCCCTGACCCTCCAGTCATGATCCATTGTTAACGAAGCCTTCGGTTATTAATCCCCAAGCGATACGCTCAAATGCGTAGAGTGCCAAGTTTTTGGCTGAAAACCCACCCTCCATCAAACCAGACTTTTTTCAAAGCGCCCATCGACAAATTAAGCTTTATCTCTACCATTTGTAATTTTAATGGAGCACAAAGCCAGTTTTCTCTCATTAAATTTCCATTTATAGTAAAATTTCACCCAGAAATTTATCAGTATTCTAATTTGACAGCAATTCGAATGTGGTTTTATGGGGGGGGAAGGAAAAAGCGTGGTGCAAGTGAAATGCGGGTAGGCTTTCAGCGACACAAAGAGGAGGCGATTGCAAAGACACGTTGTAAAGGGTAGTCGAAGTGCGGTATCAGGAAAGGTGAACGCGGCCTCTTGTATGACGCCGCCCGAAGAACATTAAACAGGTGGCCACGTGCCCATTAGCCAAGCACTTGGCACGTTGCATCCGTGCAGTAACGCATTTATCCACGCACGTGCCTCGACTCTCCTTTGGATCGACTTTCACGTGCATAATTTTAAGTATACTCCCTCGAGCTGCAGTATATCGGCTGCCATAAATGGCTCCAGCTCTTCATAACTATAAATTGTCATTTTATAAATCATGAACTCATAAATTCCCCCAAAACATTCACGTTCGTAGAGCTTTAATCAAAAGCCTCTGAAAAGAAAGGAAAAAAAACGAGAATCTTGAATGGTTGATAGCCCCTTAAAATCATGTCCCCCAGGTAACTCAAAGTGTAACGTAATACCGGATTACGGTGGATGCCATAATGCCTAATCAGCTTAGCTAAAATTCAAGGGAAACCGATCGAAACGTTAGCCATAAAGATCAAGTACGGAGGATGCGAAATTTAGGTAGAGTAAGCGCGGTGGTTGGGTAGCCTAGCAACGCGTCACAAGCACCTCTCTCAGTCGCTCCAATATCTTTCCTTTCGCTTTTACTCTCATCCAACCACCAGAGTCACTCTCGCTATCGATATTCCGGGGCAAGGCCAAATTTACGCAAAAGTGAAAAGTTGTATTTGCACCAAAAAAAGAGGAA